AACAGTTTGATATTTTGAGAACTACCAAGAAGACAGAGGTCCCTCCCTGCAGACTATTACTAAAGGCAGGAAGGCTAACTAGCCCAGAAGCTAGAGAAGTATTCAATCACTTATACGGAAGTTTGTCTGGTATCTCCAATGAAGGGAAACAAGGAAAAAGCAAAGTTTGTATGTGGATGCACTCGCTATTCCAACACTTGGCAAGCCTTCAGAATAATCACTGTCTAGGAGGGGAGGGGGCAGGTTTGGGATTTTCTATTTGGTTCTATCAGATCCCTCAGTTCTTGGATCTGGAGCCCAGGGTGAAAATGCTGTTAACAAGGTTCCCAGTCTATATTCTGGAGCTGGATGGAGGCAGCAGCCACTGTCAGAAAGACTCAGGACGAGGTACATCTATTCCTTAATCTCCATCATCTCCTGGTAGGACCTGTGGGCTGTAGTGGCATTTTGTCATTGAAGTGTAGCAGAAAAGCTGAGCTAGTATCTTTTAAAAACCCTCTGGATAGTCTCATTCTGCTCCGCTTGGTCCACAATATATTGATAAATGGCTACAGCTACCTCTGGAAAAAATGAAGATTTATGGCATGTACGATGCAGGGTCTTTTCTTATAGTCAAGGAGCACTGGCCCTCTCAACTGGACAACGGGCTGTGACATCACCATGAAACAGACTTCAATGAGGCTTCCTCTTTGTCGATGTATTACACGTCATATAGTATTTTATATAATCAAGCAGCACCACAGTACACTGCCTATTCCCAAAGGTTAGCTACTGTCACAAACCCCTGACTCAACTGTTCCATCTTTGACTTCGTGGGGGGCATGTGTCACCTTGTCAGGTGAGTACTGATGGGCCCTGACCACTTGTGTGTCCTGTCATTCCTCTGGAGATGACAAAGCTTATGTTCATTAAACTTCCACTGTGACCATTTCTGGAATATAAAGAACAGTCACCACATTTTTTCCAGGGTTCTTAAGTCATCCTGGTTAATTCATTTCTCTCTCTCTCTCTCTCTCTCTCTCTGTGTGTGTGTGTGTGTGTGTGGTGTAAGGTTTAATGCAGGTTTGGCTGAGTAGGTTGTACAAACAAATTTTCTCCATTCCCATCTATAGCTCTATTGAGTTCAGCCTTTAATGAATGAACCTAGCAGGCTATTAAAGCCACTGATTCAATGTATCGATTAGGTAAAGTACACCCAAGACGAATTTGACCTGATTATTTCTTAAGACTAGTCCCTTTGATCCAACGCCATTATAATCTACTCTAGACTGTCGGAGTCTCATAACTCTTTTGGTCTGCAGCGTATTTCCTCCCATAGTACATCTTTCCCTTGTTCTTCTGTCCAGATTTTATGTTTTGGAACCTGGGCTAGGGAGAGTTCATGAGGATTGAGAGAGGGTAGAAACTGAGCAAGATTTTCAGAGTCATGAGTCCTTGTTCCTGATGCAGTTACCAAAGACTAAAGAATCAGGTCCCTCAAATTGGGACCCGGGAAAGGGGCTGCCCTGCTGCCCAGGGAAGTTTCTGGAAATACACATTACAGTGATCTTCCTTCTCGGTTTTGTCCACGTCACTGGGTTCATTTTCTGTAACTAAGATAGATACCTGCTGAGATAGTCAGCCTATGAAGAGGTTAATTTGGGTTCACACCTCCAGAGGTTTCCACCTATGATGGGTCAGGCCTGTGGGAAGAAAGAGCAAGAGTGCACTCACTTGTTACCTGGGGAACCAGAGAGAGGAAGGACTAGTCCTCTTCAAGACATGAATTTGTAACTTGTGCTCAACAGTTGCTCTTGCTGAGGAGCACAAGTCCTCACTTGGATGCACAAACCATCCAAACCCAGGATAAATGCTAAGCATTTGTCCCTCCTCTCCATATCTATGTCATCGTTCCTGAGCCAGTTACTTTGCTGCCATCTTGGAACGCAGGAAGAACAAGACGGGGCAGCAGATATCAGCCACTCATTTTGTATAATCATGCTCCACCTGACCCATCGAGAGACAAAGCACTTCCAGAGCACCTGTCGCTGCCACTCAGGACCACCAGGACCCACCTGTGACTTCTCACTCCCCACCCACATTCTTCTTGCTATTTAAGCCTAAGGCAAATGACTGTTGAGGAAAGATGGGATGAAGTGCTTTTTCTCCACAGCTGTGTGCCACATCAGAAACTTCCTTTCTCTGCCCTTTACCCTTAACTCATCTTTTGGTGTGTAGTGCAAATGTCTAGACCCCACCTATGAAACCCTGGGACACATACAACGATATCACTGAGAACCAATACATGATGTGGCCCTCTGGGGAACATTCCAGATTGGAACTCCAGGCCATTCCTTCTCCTTTTAAATCTGCTCAACCTCAGCCTAAAAGAACTAGCACCGATGGGCATTTAAATAGTACTGTTACATTTTACCATCAGCCCTTGAGTTTCCTTTCAGATATTTGGGCTTAATCCTGGACCATTATTTTTCCTAAGACTATAGAAATTGAGGGATTTCTTCAGAGCTTTATGGATGGCTTCTGGTTCTCAGAAAATAGCCTTAGTTGTTTTTTTGTTTGTTTGTTTGTTTTTTGTCCAGTTGTGGGGCCTGAACTCTGGGCCTGGGCGCTGTCCCTCAGCTCTTCAGCTCAAGGCTAGCACTCTACCACTTGAGCCACAGCGCCACTTCTG